ATTTATATAATATTATCAGTTCGGACAAATTAACAATGTCAGTAAGCAGTAGTTCAGTAAGGCTAATATAGGCGCAGGCGCGCGGTCGATACTTGGTGGAAGAGTAGAATGCGTGGCGTCTGTTCTCGTCTCGTTCGTCTCGATTCGCCAATTTCAGGTGGCGAGAGTCATACGACGCGATCCTATTGGCTCAGACGATCTCAGCTGAGGTCTGGTACGATTATCGGCGGTACTGAATTGTTTTCCTAAGGACCGCTGCTCCCTACATAACGGTCATCAATGGTCCATATGTTAGAATGAAATAGATGATACAATAATTTTTGACGAGATCTTGAGAAACAGAGATTCGTTTCAGATTAGATATCGTAATTACATCTGTCTATCGAGTACTCGTATAAATCTATATTTTTTTTTTTAAATTGTTCATTAAAAATCGCTAATGTCCGAGAGTAAACGTTTCGAGTTAAAGAACATATTTAAAAAGATATTATTTTAGCAGCATTTAAATTTAAAACAATTTACATTATTGTAAAGATATTTGACAGTTAAAAGAATTATGCAATACATGATAATTTAACAGTGATAATCACTGGCGAGGCATTTTTCTAATTTAGTTCGTACAGAAAAACAGAGCATTTGTTGCATCATATGACTGACTAATCGTCTATAAAAAACGGCGGCAAAAGTCAGTCGATTGCCAATAAATTTTTATATACTTTGCGATATGTAAATGCGATAACCATGTGTAACCAAGTATTGCTACTAAGTGTTTACGTGGCAATAAATACCGAAGATGTGGAAGTCAGATATTAGTACACGTTTCTCTAGCATGTTTTTTTTTTTTTTTTTTTGAGGCAATAACGCAATGACAGAAAAAAGCGATACATAATTAATTTTTTTGATAAATGGTATATATCCTAAAGAAGAATCTGCACTTATCTTTGCACATTATCTGAGATTGCTATCTGAAGTAACCTGCATCGTCAGAACTGATTTCATAAATATTATGATTTTAAATATTACGGCATTATAAATAGATATTGCTTTTAATTAAATAACCTTGTAGATCACACATTTTCTTTGCTGTTTTCTAGTCACATATGAATCATATTGTCTTGTCGTAATTTAAGCTGTCTTAAGGTGTTTGAAAAAATCTACAAAAATTTATATGTATTTTTTAACATCTGTAGAAAATGATCATGTACGACAAAAGTTAAAAAATAAATTTTGAACATTTTTTGTATTGATTAAGGCCTTCGGGACGATATATTCTATCGTTAAAATATCGATAGGGTCAAAATGAACCATATGTGATCTTTAAGGATCAACTTTCTAATTATCTTCCTAGTACCCGTTTTTCTAGCATGTTTTTTTTTTTTTTTTTGAGGCAATAACGCAATGACAGAAAAAAGCGATACATAATTAATTTTTTTGACAAATGGTATATATCCTAAAGAAGAATCTGCACTTATCTTTGCACATTATCTGAGATTGCTATCTGAAGTAACCTGCATCGTCAGAACTGATTTCATAAATATTATGATTTTAAATATTACGGCATTATAAATAGATATTGCTTTTAATTAAATAACCTTGTAGATCACACATTTTCTTTGCTGTTTTCTAGTCACATATGAATCATATTGTCTTGTCGTAATTTAAGCTGTCTTAAGGTGTTTGAAAAAATCTACAAAAATTTATATGTATTTTTTAACATCTGTAGAAAATGATCATGTACGACAAAAGTTAAAAAATAAATTTTGAACATTTTTTGTATTGATTAAGGCCTTCGGGACGATATATTCTATCGTTAAAATATCGATAGGGTCAAAATGAACCATATGTGATCTTTAAGGATCAACTTTCTAATTATCTTCCTATTAATTTTTTGTTTGTTTTTGATTAGACATACTACGAGGTTATTAAGCTACTTCAGGTTGTGCATGTATAAATTAACAATGCTTATACGAATGCATACCCGCGCGTATCTTTATTAGAGAAGAGATTGTGTATGCACTGGTTTACTTAATAAACTACAATATTGCAAGAGAGAGAGAGCGATTATCTGCACGCTAAGTCACAGTCATGGTCGTCTTGAAGAATGCCATATTGAAGAATCTATTTATCCCATTACATCAAATGAATAGTCGCGCATTACCTTACGCTAGAAATTATGAAAACAAACAATAAATTCTTTATGATTGAAATTATTAGTTTCCGTTGTGTTTCACATATGGTATTTAAAAAAAAACAAACTTTTTTCTCTATTTTAATAGCAATATTCCAATTAATTATATTTTAATTATACACCAAAACAAGATCATAATATATTGTGATTAAATTTATCAGTGTGTACAATGCATGTATAATACGGATGTGTGTATATATATATATATCTGTGTATCTGTGTGTTATAATAATGTAAATTTTTTTTTAATATCGGATATATATATATATATATATATATATATATATATTTCGCGCCATTTTTACGTATATATATATATTCGGGATATCTCCCGAAAAAAATTAATCGAATTGATCACATGCACGCTGGTAATGATTGTGCTGCGTCTGCAATCGCTCGATAAAGATGCATGTGTATACGATATTTGTAAATCTATATAATCGCAATGAGATGATATGAATGTAAAGATAACATTATTTTTTGGTTGCTATCGTCATGATATCGTCATACCAGACTGAATGGGCATTGCGTTGCGAATGGAAATAATTAATTGACCATGACGCCATACAGCCTTGACAATGATCAAGTGCGTTCGAACTAATCTTATAGATGTAAAATCTGCATCCTCAACCTTGTATTATCTTCAAAGCCACGACATATCGTATAAATATGAGATGAATGAGAATCAATTAATCATGTGTAATACATAAATGTATGATTTTGTAGAACGAAATACGGTATCTCACATATATTGCATTCCTTTTTACATTTTATTGATTAAAATATTGAGATATATGCAACTTGTCATTGCAATTAACAACGTCACGTATACTCTATTTTAGAAAATGATTATAAAGGTGAAGTCATTGACCATTCCGAATGTATTATATGTTATGGTTTAGTCATTCTCTATTATCATTAACATCCTGCTCATTAGCATTATTTATATGTTGCACAACACGTAATTTATTAATCACGTACCATATATTGATTATAAAGCGATTTTTCTGTAAAATATTTGTAAATCGTCCTATTTTTTATCTTTTTGTTAAGTTAATTAAATCAGTGCATGTGTAACGATGGGAAGGAATTGCAGGAATTGTATTTTACGCTATCGTTTTTTCTTCATCCCAAATCTGGTAATTTAGTTCGAGACAGTAATTTTATCCTCTATGATCAGATTGTCTTGACGATCAGCTGATCACGCTTTCCTCAAACGACCCGATGTTTTTGCGCAAGCGGTGGGAACATCGTGTGCCGGCGTTCGGTGCCGCGCGAGCCTGCGCCTGGATGACATTCGTCGAGCATCCAGCCGGCAGTCGATAGTTGGTCCTCGACCGGTTCGCATCCCCGGTCACGTGCAGGAGAATATACGTTTACGCGAATATTTGACGGAATTAAGGGCAACGCCTGCGGGCTTACGATACGACGATAAACGGACTATGTACGTATATATATATATATATATACGTCGATATCAGTATTCGCCGATAATTCATGAATGAATTGTTAGTATTCGGACCTTCGAGGCGATAAGAAAATCCAGGTCCAAGGTGGTTAAAAAAAATGGCTAAAAAAAAGTTTTAACGTGTACGTGCAAAAAATCGGATATTTATGCTCATTGATTTTCTGCCCATTGTTACGTTCTCCCTCATTATCTTAGTGTCGTATGAACAGTCGTTCTCTCTCCGCAGGTTCATTAGCATTATTAATCTGTCATATAATGTAAACACATTACAGTACGTTACGTGGTTTATTAATCGCGGCATTCCGATGAATGTTAAATAAACGAAAGTGGAGTGCATAGGACCTGCAATGTAAATTTCTGATTTAAGTAGCAATATCAGCTGAAAGCTCTGTCGCGATATTGCGTTACCGGTGAAAGTCTTACAGGTGTTATTTCCCCAGAGAAAGAACCCCTGTTTCCCAGTGCTGATGATCAATTAAACGAGCGAACCGTATTCGGTTAATATAATCGCAACTGTTTCACGTTTCCGGGTTATAATATATATCGCTTCGTCCACTAATGTATAACCGTTTCGCGATCCATATCACCTTCAACGTGGTAATTGCGAAGCGCGATAATCATAACCCTGACAATATTTAAGTACTCTCCGTAATATTGCAAATAGAAAAAGAGAGAGACGCATACATTTTGTATTTGGCCTGAACTCATATTCGTCATTATTGATGGATTTTTATCATTCGTTTTTTTTTTGTCACAGCATGCAATTACCACATTCGTTGGTTCTATACTCGCGGACTTTTGACTGTACTAAAACCATTATAATTACGACGCCATGACGCGAACCATATTAGCTCCATCAAATAACGGATCACGTGCAAATATGATTATCGTCGCGGTGGCCTCGACAAAGTATTTCTATTCTCGATATCGGCTTTTGATGTAGATTATTTTTCAAACCTTATTAAAAAATTAATTATAATTTTGCAATAATATATAGAATAATATATAATACTATATATACAATAATAATATACTATATATATATATATATATATATCATGATATCTAAAATTTACTAAAAGTTTTTGTATAATTCTTAAAAATTTTACAATTGTAATTAAATTGATCGTACAGATGATTATTTATTTAAGAGAGCAATATAAAAAATTAAGAAGGCAAACGAAAGGATATGAACAATTAATGAATAATATGTTAAATGAGTTAAAAAGTTCTAAATTTGTCGACGTGATGGTCAAAATGCGAAATTTATTATTTATAAAAAAATTACAACGCTTTATAAAAAATGAAATGCTAAATGCAGATTTTTCACATTGTTGTTAACAGATTTTTCTAAGTAAGCATGGCGCCGAATATAACCAGCACACCGACGGGAGTGCTCTTCGAGGGCGAGACTGTGGCCGAGCCGCAACTGGAGGAACCTAAAGAAACACCAAAATATGTTAGACGCATCGTGTGGAGAAACGTGGCGATTTTCGCGTTCTTACATCTTGGAGCTCTTTACGGAGTTTATCTATCTTTTACGTCTGCCAAATTGGCGACTGTCATTTTCGGTAAGGACATCAATTTTATTTTATATATATGTGTGTATGATATGTGTTCTTTAGATCAATATTTTTAATTGTTCGTCTTGCTATCTATGACAATTTATCAAAAATTAAAAACACAAATATAATTTTAATAGTGAATAGCTACAATAAACGACCATCTTTTCTTATTTTTATGATAATAAATCAAATTAATTAAAATAAATTTTAGAAATAGAATTTTTTTTTAACTGGCAATGAAAGTATGCTATCTCATACAGATATACACGCGCTTATAATTTTACAAATCTATCAAGATTTTTATTTATTTCATTTAGAACGTACTACAATTATTCGAAATTATATTATCATTGTTATTATCATTATTATCCTATAACTATATTATTAATATTATGAATAAATTGTAAATAACTTTCTGATTCGCATTGCCAGTTTTACATTTAGGATATATAATTTGCTTCAAAATAATTATTTGATGAAAATAATAAATAAATCGTCGAATTACTTTGCGTTTAATATCATAATTTTCTTGATTACAGCAATCTTTTTATATCAATGTTCGGGCTTTGGAATCACAGCCGGAGCTCACAGATTATGGGCACATAGATCCTACAAAGCCAAGTGGCCTCTTCAGTTGCTGCTCATGATTTTAAATACTATAGCATTCCAGGTGCGTAATCAAGTTTTTGCAGAGGAACTAAAAAAGAGAGATGTAATAAAACTACTTGCGAAAAAAGGAATCGAATGATTTGAATAATTAATTTTCTTATGAAATAGAATATTAAAAACTTTGCTAGGAAAAATGTCAGTTGATTATTTAACAATATAGTAATTAATCCAGTAGGACTATAGTAGAATCGACTCTTTTCTGCAGCTAGTGAAGCGTGAAGAATTCATGTCGATGCAGTGATGCCGAGCATAAAACACGCGTCGCGTGTAGATAATGGAAAAATAGCATGATTCGTACTGTGCGTCGTTAGAGATTGCTTAAACAAGCAATCCGTTGTTATGAAAAGAATATCATTCTCTATAAACTCGAGAATGTAGGTGGCATATATATTATTTCCGCGATTATTGATAGGACATGAGCGAACATATATTCAGTATTTTCTTTCATAACGCGAGATAGATATATAAATATGGAAAACAATATAGATTGAACAACGGAGGTATATTATTTCTGTTTTGCGCAGGCGAAACATAAACTTTTATATCAGTATTGATTAAAATGTAATTTTATGGAATCCAGGATGCTGCGATCGACTGGGCCAGAGATCACAGGGTTCACCACAAGTACAGCGAGACCGATGCCGATCCACATAACGCTAAGAGAGGTTTCTTCTTCTCGCATGTAGGATGGCTACTTTGTAAGAAGCATCCGGAAGTCAAGGAAAAGGGCAAGGGAATCGACTTGAGTGACCTCGAAAGCGACCCTATATTGGCATTTCAAAAAAGGTATGCGTGTCGGTGTCAATCCGAATGATGTCTCTTTAGTGACAAACGTATATCAAAAATGAATTCTGGCTTATTTCAGATATTATATCATGCTGATGCCATTGCTATGCTTCATTTTACCCACTATCATTCCGGTTGTGTGTTGGAACGAAACGTGGACGAATGCTTACTTCATTCCTACCGTTTTTCGTTATATCTTCACATTGAATATGACGTGGCTAGTAAACTCTGCGGCGCATCTCTTCGGCAACAAACCTTATGATAAGTTAGTATTGATCAATTAAAATAGTTCTACAAGTCAAATTATATATATATTTGAGAAGTAAATGCAAGGAATGAAGAGTTAATAAATGATATATTTAATTTATTGATTTTTTTTAGAGAAGATATCTCGAATTCTCCATTCTTTATCTTTACTTCTCAAATATTTTCTTATTTTTTTGTTACACTTGTGAAACATTTATTAATATTATGATTACTCTCTTATGCGATATAGATTCATCAATCCGTCAGAAAATAAAAGCGTCGCTTTCTTCGCTCTTGGAGAGGGTTGGCATAATTACCATCACGTGTTTCCCTGGGATTACAAGACAGCCGAGTTCGGCAAGTACAGTCTCAACTTTACCACGGCCTTCATCGACTTCTTCGCGAAAATCGGTTGGGCTTACGATTTGAAGAGTGTGTCTGAGGATATGGTGAAGAAACGGGTAGAGAGAACGGGCGATGGCAGCCACGAATTATGGGGTTGGGGTGACAAAGATCAGACGCAAGAAGAGAAGGACGAGGCGATAGTTACGCATCATCACATGAAGGAGCAATAAAAATGCGCGGTTAAAGTCTTTTGGTTAGAATTTAAAGTTTCTTTCCACATTCGTTTACGACGACTATTTGTTTGTATAGATTTCACAATAATTCCATAAAAGGTGCATTCGATTAAGCCAGCCTTCCAGGACTTACATCTCGACGTCGCGTATTTTTCTATATTATCAATGCATAAATCCTCCATATCATATATATATATATGATATGGAGGAAACAGGACTATATATATAATTGGAACCAATGTATTAATTTTGTACTTTAAAATAACGCGCAAAAACGGTACTGCGATGCAAAAAAAAAAAAAAGGAAAAGGAAGAGAAATATGATAATATAAATTAAAATTAAATTTTGCTATCACCTTCGCAGATAAATTCATCTGTCAATCAATTTTTTTATGAAAATGTATTAATTGTGTATATTAATAATATTTATAATGTATGGATGAAAAAAATTATGAGAACTTGATACAGATATACATATGTACAAAAAAAAATTATTTTTACTAATTTACATGACTAAATTGTTGCTCAATTTTAATATACAATTATTATATAACTAAATTGAAAGTTCTCGATTAAAATAAATAATTTATTTTGTAATGCGCGAATTTGAATATACGCGATACCATCTTATCAATCAAAATCGATTTTAAATAATGTTATAACAGCTAAAACATTAGCGAAATGTCATTCTTAAATGTATGAATATTTAACTCCTATCTTTTTCTCTTTTTTTTTCTTTTTTTTTCTTTTAATAACGCACGTTATAGGTATAGAAATTTTCTGAGTTTTTATTTGTGATACAATAAGACATTGTTTGTTTTTTTACACATTACACATTAAATGTATTGTGATGTTTTTATCGTTTTTTTTTTTTTTTTTTCATTTAGTACTGTTTCGCACTTATTACATTAGTTTATATACCCCAATGAAGATGCGACATAATTGATTTATACAATAAATAAATTATTTGTGTTTGAAAAAGAAAAAGAAATTTGTGAATATAAAAATTTATGCATTGATAATATAGAGGATTGCGTATTTATGTAATTTGCGACTTAATGATACGTATAATGACGTTTATACTAACAATAAGATACATATTGTTTTTTTGATATCAATTGAGACAATTGATAAAATTCAAGAAATTACTATAAAATTCAAAAACTAATTGTTATAGTGTCAATAATATAAAAATATGAAATAAGACGAGATAAAAATTGAAGTCTTCTCAATATAAAGTCGAATTTATTGATATAAAATAAATTTTATTTATTTTTTTACACAAAATCGTATATATGGAAACGCAGAGCGTTTCATGGTTTTGTGGTGCCATACTCGTCAAAGAAACTGATTGAATGTTTCGTTAATTATAGCATTCTTATGTAATTTTTTACAATTGAACTCCTCTATTCTGGAAATTCACCGAGAGTCTCTCCGCTATTCTAGGATTTTTTTTTTTTTTTTTTTAGTTACTTTATTCTAATGACGTGCAGAATGATAATGTCGTTATTTTTTGTCGTTGCATTCTTTTTCTTATTCTACACATGATCATGCGAAAAACCTATAATGAGAACAACGCAAGAAAGGAGTTTTAGTTCTTTTTCTTTCATTATATTGTCATTCTTTATGGAACGCAATTCTACCCTTTCGAATTCCAAATTACTAATCTAAAGTAACGCGGAGAATCAAAAACGTAGTAAGAGACAGCATAGAGGATTTCTACTATAAATTAATATTTCGTGACGATCACTCTGATACTGGTTAGTGCATTTGTCTTAAAGTTGATATTACAAATTTCTATGTCCGGTTTACCAAAACTTCTTATAATAGTTTTTATATTATTTTTAGTTCTTGGTATTTAAATCACGGTATAACTACTTATTCGTCCAGTATAACAAATACGAAAAGCGATTGTCGCGATTGTGTCGCCAAGGACACAAAATTATTGATATTATCATTATTGTTAAGTGTAAGAAAATCGCACGATTTTATTGTATTGTATTATACACATTGAATTCTGATATTAATAATTAAAATAAAATGTTTAATAAAAGTATATTTTTAAGTAAAAAGAGACACATTGCATGTTACTTTTTGTGTCTTTTTATTTAACATCGTTATACATCGTCAGTTGCAGCAATGTAGATATTCTATGACGTTGAAAATACAGTGATTATTCGATATTTAAATTTAATGATTAATCTTTTTATTAGTCAACAAATTTATTTTTTAATGGATGTCATTCTGTATATTTTATTTCAGAAATAATATATTACGGGCGGATTGTGATGTATATAAATTATACATTTTATGGTGTTTCATAATTTTAATAAGATGTTTTGTGTACATCCCCAGGTAACAAAAAAGTAGTTATTTTGACGTCAAATTACATCAAAATGACTATCATTGCTATCTCCACCATTGCTAAGTTGTTGCAAAAAAAAAGGTATAAAATTTTTACTATTTTAATTGAAATTTACGAAAAAATCCCAATTACATATCAATCTATATTAATTTGCGAAACGCTTGTAAATTCATATCTCTAGTGGTGATACATTAGCTTCTGTTTATAAGCAACTGCTTCCGCGTTTGTTTGCATTTCTGCCAGAGCTTCTTTTAACGTCGTCTCCGACGTGGCCATCTTGCAAAGAGCGTCTCGCACGTCGTTGCTGGTGGCGGTTTTCATCTCATTGATGAATCCGAGTTCGTGCCACATCTTGACGATGAATGTTACGAAACCCGTGTTGTAATTACCAAATTCATCACTTTTAAAATCCCACGCAAGTATATAGTGATAATTTAACCAGTAGGACTTTGATACAAAGAAAACAGAGTTATCGTCGACCGGAAATCTGGAATGAAAATGTCAAATGTCAGAATCGAGCGAAATTAACTTGCTATGCAAAAGATTAATATTAAAAAGAATCACGAAAAGAGAAAATATATAAAATATGTGGTATATTTGTCAAGAAAAATAAGAAGAAATAAATAAATACTTCTATATGGGAAATTTTATCAATACAAAGATTTTTAATATATACTATTTTTGTACGATTATATAGATATATAGTGTGTTTTATTAATATATTAAATCGAAAAAAGTATGTAACTGAAATTTACAAGAAACTATACATTATGAGATCACAATATCATATATTACAATATATTATCTTTTTATTTAAAAAATAAAAAAACCGATTTAAATTTAGAGAATGTATATTTTTTTTATATCTTTGACGAAATAATAATTCATACATAGCGTTTTTAACAAAATATCCTCGTCAGATTTCGTTAAGTGCTACTTGTAATATATACCATCCCTATCAATAATGATGGTACCGTGACTCTTCGGCATCCTGAAAAGGAGTTTGTAAAAAAGTGAGATGGTATCAAAAAGAGATATTAACTTAGCTCCTCTTTCTAGACCCCAAATCAGCAAGGCGCTGTTTACAAGCCAGGCAATATTCGTAGTTATCATCAGTCGTGCTGCCCCAATGATCAGAAAAGAGTAAGTCATCGATTCATTCCAGTATTCAATAGGCACGTTCATAGGTAGTAATAGTCCAAATACAATGAAGAGTATCCAATAAAACCTGTGCAATATACTTATATTACAAATTTTGAAATATATAATTCCGTATATAATAGAATATAACAACAAATTATGAATAATGTATGTCAGAAAAATTGTTTATATATATAATTATATATTATTATTTTTTATTTAAAAGAATGTGCTGTATGTCCTATATAAAATTTCTATATAAAATATGTGAGTCATATCGAAAAATAGGACGTACTTTTGTTGTGTCCAGACGTATCCATCTTCTTCTATATCGCGCATGTCAATGTCTCTTGCATACGTTTTTATGTCAGAAGGTGCTGATAAAAGATTGCTAATGAAATGAGAATAAAGAAATCCTTTTTTATGATTATACGGATCTCTTTCGGTACAATAATATCTGTGAGACATTCTATGCCAAAACACACTGTCGTGTATCGGACCCTGAAAACAACAGATTTTTATGATTATTTTTATAATTTACATTTTTTATCATATTTTTTATATATTTAACATAAAAATATTTATTGGAGTAAATGCAAGATAAAATTTTTTTAAAAATAATTCCAATTTTAATTTTGTCCTCCATTATATAATTTCTGCGTAGTCATTTCCTATTGTAAACGGTTATGTTTATTCTTGCATTGACCTATCAGAACTACATATTAAGCTAGCGTTTATTATATAACAATATGTGAATCATTCAGATATCAATAATATAAATATTTTAACACGTATATCTTTAAACTCACCACGCCTGCAAGAGTATGTGATAGCATAATGAAGAGTTTAAGTTGCCATGTTGCGACAAAAGTTCGATGCGCATATAATCGATGTGCACCCGCTGTTAATCCTATTAATGAAATGATGACGAGGAATAAAACTGAAATCAGCAAAATACCAAAACATCCGTCAAATAATCATCAGATTTTATCGAGAAAAGAAAATCATTCACACGTTGCAAAAAAGGAGATATATCGGCACAGGAAATCTGAAGAAGAAAGTTTGAATAGGAAGTTTGAAAAATATATTTAAATCATATTATTTATCTAACGGAATATTTAGTTGCAATAATCGCTAACTAACAATACAAATATTCTTTTTGTACACAATAAGATTCTTATTACAATATAATTCCAAAATAAAATGATCTAGAATAGAAAATCAACTAATTCTATTTATACACGATTTTTCGATCGTAGTTCTATATAGTAAATATGCGATATACTCACAGTAAAATACCGTCATCCATTTCGCTCTGGTAAATAAAAAATACATTCCGATAATACCAAGAACATGAAGATAAACGTAAAAAAGGACAAGGGCCCATCTTATAGATCGCTTTTCCATTTTGTTATTAGTATTGTTCTGTTCCTTGGATTCCTTCATGTCGATATATCACAATTAAAGATCCTGTCGACAGAAAGAACGCGTATGGATGTTTTTGCAAGAAATTAATTACCATTTGATAGCAATTGATAGTAACAATCATAATAAATAATTATTACATCTCGAATCGTAATAAATAATTATTATAAGAAAGATTACAATTTTATACAAAATATCGAAGTTTTATCTTATATATACATAAAATTTTATACGTAAGTGTATCGGTAAATTATCGTATATATAGGAACTGATTAAGCTATCTAAAAGTTTTTAAAAAACAAAATTTTAGCTACGATAAAATTGTTGAATATTTTACAATTATATATAAAAATAGAAATATTAAAAAATAATTACGAACAAAAGTATAAGTGTGAAAAAGATCGAAACTTACATATGTGCGTTCTCTTTTATATAAAATAAGTATCTGTGATATCTTACTTCTCAAACAGTTACGTTCAGTGCCACACTGAAGCGCGCTTGTGGAAGGTCGGAAAGACACTATACAGCAAAAGCGTCGCTGAGGATGTTTTGGCCTTACGACCCCATGCCGAATTTCATTATCAATAAAAATTTTTCCTAGTCATTTCCTTGTTGCCGTTTGTCATGCACAGACATGATATATAGTGAATTTCTTAAACAAAGATATCTTTATAAAATTTCCTGTTTCTCATGCGTCACGAAATTTTTATATTTTTTCTAGAAATTTGATAATCATGTCTATGAAATGTGTGCATACCGCATGCATTTAGCAGATTTTCGTCAAAAATGTCTTCAGAAACGACCTTTCAAATAGGGGGCCAAAGTTATCGTAATCGTGCCGATTTATGTAAAAAAGCTCTTTGAAAACGGTTATTATGTTAAATGCAAATTAACTAAGTACACAGTATAATTAACAAAAAACAGAATTTATTTCAATTTGCATTTATATATAAAGTAAACTGTAAGTATAAAGTAATTGTGAGGAAATAAATCATTAAAAAAAAACTATAAAAAATAGAAATAAGCATTTCGAAAACCGTACATTGTTTTAATTTATTTAAAATATTTTTCTAATGCATAGTTTATTTACGTACTAATATACAAATTAATCTAATTGTTGCGACTCTTTATCAAAACGCATGTTTTGTGCGATTTATTTATTATTTCATGTAGGAATCAAAGCAAAATAAGAATAAACGTTATAAATTATTGTTTAGTTGCAATTCTAACAAGCAATAATTATTTCTTCAATAATGCTTAAAGCCAAATATATTTTAATGGTTTAAAATTTCTGTGGATCTAAACGTAATTGTTATTTGGATTGAGATTCGGTTGGTTTCCAAAATGCTGTTCATTAAACGACAAAAGAATGGTCTGAACCTGCAGAGTGATATAGAAGGTTTACACCACGCATTTGCGACAATAGTAGAAAACTTATCAAAAATAAAAAATAAATAAATAAAAAAAATTGATTTGGAAATTTGAGTTTAAATTTAGATTTGAAAATTTAGTTTGAATTTAAGAATTAATTAATCTTGACGCATTTGCCTTTTCCCACCGTTTTTGGTTTTAATTTATGACTTTGTTTTATGACTTATTTTTGTAATTTTTCTCTAAAATGGAGAACTTAAAAAAATTCAAAAATTTTTCGGGAAACTTAAATTTGAATTTGATTTTAAAGTTTGAATTGGATTTAAAAATTAACTAAACTTGCCGCATTAGCCTTTCTCGCAATGATTTTTTTTAGCCTTTGCTTATACTTATCTTTACAATCGTTGTTTTTGTAACCGTACTGACCGTGTCAACATTAGTCATCATTATATTGTAAACCAGCGACGATATACGCGTGGCAATGGCGTTTGGACATTGTCCACGTATTTATACAGATTCCATGCAGGTTTTAGTAAGCCTTCTTTCTGATTATTAATATATTTTAATTTGAAATTTGACTACAATTGCAAATGTTGTATATGTCAAGTTTTAAAATACTAATTTAATCTTTATACATTTATATCCATGTTAAAGATGGACCAAAAACGGTTCAAAACCTAGATTTTTAACACATTAGTTAATAAAATTTAACAATAATTCGCCGATACCCGCGCCTTCTGTGTGAATTTATTTTCTATTGCGTTGAATATATCGCGACGGCAATGAATTAATTTACTTTATGCAGTATTTAACGCTTATATTTTGCGATGTATAACAAAATTGTTTATTAGGAGATTTATTCAATTGAAATCTGTTGAGTGAACACAATAAATTTAATTTAATTATATTATCTTATATTGTGTAATTCACGAAAATTTCTTTTTTATTTTTGATTTTAACTTGTATATTTATTCACTTATGTTAGATTATATAGGATATAATAAAATTGTTGTCTTAAAATGTGCGAACATAAATTAAACGGTTTCTATATCACGGCTTTTTATTACTTATTGATTATAAATAATAATCAAATTGCAGGATGGAGTAATTAACTTAATGAAAAGCTTCGTGATACATTTATCAAATAATAAATAATTAATCTATAGTTTAAAATAGTTATATAATTTAATATTCGCGTATATGTATTGTATATTGGTTACAGTATGTTAGTTTATCGGTCCCCTACACGCTCCTAAAGTTTTGACATTTAAATTGGGGACACTCTGTATATGCAACGTGTATTATCAAAAAGTGTTCGGCCTTGGCGGCGTATAGCGTCCTTGTTTACGTCTTACGGCTTTATTATTATTCGCGCGGCGACATTTGAATAGTATCGTAATAGTGAGAGACGCTTCGTCACAAATTCCTTTCCTACAATATTTATTATCATTCACGCGAAGACATTCGAACAGAAAAGTAGTGATGCGAGACGATCCGTCAAATTCCTTTTCCAAACGCGATCGTGTCAACCATCGGGAAATCATTTGATAATACTTTATCGTTTAACTCTTCGAAGATCTATATATGATTTACATTGGGAATGCGTAATTAAATAATCGAATCACGTAATTAGGATCGAGTAATTAACTTGACGAAAGTTCGTGATATACATCTATCAATTAATAAATAATTAATCCATAATTCAAAATTCTTCTATTATTTAATATTCCATGTATATATATACGTCATAGTACGTAAAATATTTCGGCAACAAATTATCGATACCATGATATACGGTCTTGGCGGCGTAAACATTAGCGCGCTATTGTCTATGTCTTTATGTGTTACGATCTTATTATTCGCACGGCGACACTTGAATAGTATTGTAATGGGGAAGACGCTTCGTCGAATTCTTTTCCTAAATGCGATCGCGACAAGTGTTAAAATATAATTTGCTTCTTGTATGCTGCTCTGTCTTACGGTATAATAAACTGAGTGAGTATCTCGTATGATTGTTCCGCGATCGGGAGTGCCGTGCAAAGTGTCTCGCAATCATTGTGTATCGTATACGGCTAATTATATAATTAATCGTGTTTTCGCGAGTGAGTGTGAGTGCTGCGAGGACACAGAGAGATGGACAAGAGAGGAAAAGGAGGTTTGGACGAATATGATGGCTTGTCGCGACGTCGGTGCCGTCATCGTGCCGCGGACGGCTTTCGTGTCCTTCGCGTCGCGTGTTAGTACAGCATTGCCACGAGTCGCACAATGGCTCATATGTGGCACGCGCATTTGTGCGTTGAACGCACATTAGTGCGTCATCGTTGTCGTCATCGTGCCGTACGAGCAACGATGCGTCGCGTTGTCGCGTTTTCGCGTTTTCGCGTCGTCGCGTTTTCGCGTTGGACTTCTACCACGTTTTCACGATTCGAGAATCGAAGTATCGCGCGTGTGAATCAACCTGAGAGGAGAAGGAGGCCTAGGAAAGGCATCGGGCACCGACGGAGCAATCTTGTGGTGAGTAAATTGTTATTTGTATATTAATTTCTTATTAATTGCATTCGTGCAATTTAAATTGAGCAATTAATCGCGTAATTTGATTTTTTATTTGTATGATTTAAACAAGAGAGAATTAAAGAAACAGATTTTTATATAAAAGCTATGATCTTGTAAAAGTTTTTACTTTTAGATTATAGCTTTTATATGGAATTATTAGAATTATTAGTAATGTTTTTTTCAAAATTTATAAAATTATTTTATTAATCTGCTTATTATTATATGCATCGAATATAAAATTTAATGCGTATAATACATTTTTTAAAAATATTAATTATTTTGAGTGCTGCTACAATTTGGATCTTTTATTTGCATTTTACAGAGTAACGTAGCGACTCTGACATTCTGAGAGGAGGAGGAGGCCTAGGAGAGGCATCCTGCATCGGCGGAGCAACCTAAGGGTGAGTATTATTATAAATTCCGTACATGTATTAATTCGGTTCATTTATTTGAATACTTTAAAAAAGAGAGATTCGTACAAAGAGAAAAACTCTTATATAAATCTCTTATATAAAAGTTTCTATTTAAAAAAAATAGTTTTCTTTTTTAGACCTTATAAAATTATTTCGTATTTATATACCTGCTTATTATTGCACGCATCGAATATAAAATTCGGTGCGTACAATAATAATTTCTTGAAATGTTAATTATTTTAAGTGTTGCTATAATTTCGATTTTATATTTGTATGTTGCAGACAACGTAGCCTCAAGATCAACAACTCCGCTGTTGCGCATCAGTGCCGGTGAGTGACAAACTTATATTTAATTTTAAGATAACGGATTTCTAGAGATTTTAGATGTAGATTATAGTTTGTAGATTGTAGATGGATCCGTTATCTTAAAATGGATGGACTAGAATAAATTAGATCATAACTTTTGACATTTTTTAAATAGAAATTTGCATTAAAGCATATCACAAAAGCAAACTAAAACATAAATAAAGAAATATAAAAAAACTTTCAATTCTTTATCAATTCATTCTTTATCAATCTGTGTGATCAATTATCTATCAATTATTTATTTAATAAAGAACATGTCACTAATTTTATTATTATGTATATAATAATTTATTCTTATAAAGCACGTTGATTTTATTTTAATATTTTGTAGTCCATCCATCTATATGTAGTGTAGCATATCAGGGAACTTTGTTTTGACTAATATAAATTTAAGTAATCGATCAATCAAATCATATATAATATTTAAAGAAATAAGTGAATAATAATACTATAAAGTAAAAGTATAGTGAAAAATATATAAAAGTAAATGTTTACTTAATTCTATTTATTATAAATTA